CCAGTGGCCAGCCCAGCACCTCTTGCTTTGTAGGGGCACCAGTGGGCAGCAAACTGGCTGGTTCCGTGTACAACAGGTGTGAACCTGCCATGTGCTGGGCATGTATCCCCAGGGATATGGTGTGAATAAGCCAGACCCATACCCAATTCTGTATGGTCTGTCTCATCTCCATGGGCGTTTTCATTCCTGTGCCATACTGTTTTAATTTTCACAGCTTTGCAGCATGTTTCGTAACCTCATACGGTCTGTCTTCTCATTCCTGGTATATATTATGCACCTGCTGTGTGCCTGGCCCCTTGCGGCACTGAGGATATAGCAGTGTCTGACTGTTCTCTGTCTCTAGTGCTCTCTGTCCAGTGGAGGGGCGGGTAACAGGTTTTCACCAAAAGCCCACAAGTAATACGTCTGTCATGAGAGATGTCAGGAGGGGGAGGTGTAAGGTGTGGTGGCAAGAATGACTCGGTGGCCTGCTGGGACCTGTGGAAGTGGCCTGGGATCTAAGTCCTGAAGGGTGAAGAGGTGACACTGGGCTGGGAGGTCTCCAGGTGCGTCCCTGGGACCTGCACCAAGGAACGTCCTGATGTTTCTCCCCTCCCCATGCCTCAGGGATGAGTACTTCCGCATGAAGTTGCAGTGGAAGTCTGTGAGCCCTGAGCAGGAGCAGAGGAACTCACTCCTGCATGGATACCGCAGCCTCATTGGTGGGTGGGTGGGGGGCGGGGGGTTACAAGGGCGGACGGGAGGTGAAAAAGAGGGCCTGGGAGCATGGGTGCAAGGGGGAGGATGGAGGGGACCCCCTGCCTTCCCAAGATCAGGGACAAGGTCATCTGGAGACGGAAGTGGAGTGAGCAGCTGTGGGAATGGCCAGGAGCAGACGGAGAAGGGGAGTCAGGTTCTGTCATTTACTGGTTATGTGATCTTGGCAGGTGATTTTATGTCCCTGGGCCTGGGTTTCCCTCCCTGTGGGAGGGTATGGTGAGCCGCTGAACATGAAGCCCAGCACATCACAGCAGGAGTGTTAGTGATGGTTGCTGGAACTGGTCCCACTGCTCTCCCGGGAGCCAGCCCTGAGGCTGTGGGCTGCTGGCAGAGGAGGAGTGGGGACCAGTGCCGGTGGCCAGGGACAGGCCACCACACCTTTCTCACCTTTGCACCTTGCACCTGGTCTCTGCAGAGAGAGATGTGAGCCGCACTGACAGGACCAACAAATTCTATGAGGGTCCCGAGAACCCAGGGCTGGGCCTGCTGCACGACATCCTCCTCACATACTGCATGTACCACTTTGACCTCGGTGGGGCGCCAAGTCTCCCTCGGGGGGTGGGGGGTGGAGAGGGTGGGGCACTGAGAGCCTGGGCTGGAACTTGACCTCATGTCCCCCCAGGCTATGTCCAGGGTATGAGTGACCTCCTCTCCCCAATCCTCTACGTCATTCAGAACGAGGTGGATGCCTTCTGGTGTTTCTGTGGCTTCATGGAGCTCGTGGTGAGGCTCAAGGCAGGAGTGGGAGACGGGCCTTTCAAAGGATCAGGGGGTCTTGGCTCCTCATGAGGCCTTCCCTCCCTCCTGCAGCAAGGGAACTTTGAAGAGAGTCAAGAGACCATGAAGCGGCAACTTGGGCAACTTCTGCTGCTCCTGAGGGTGCTAGACCCGCCGCTCTGTGACTTCCTGGGTATGTCTTGTGAGGATGGGCAGGAGACAGCAGGGCCATGGACCTTGCCAGAGATTCTATGGTAGCAGCCACAGATGGCGTCCTGGTGTTTACTACTGATCCGGACACGAGAAACATGCCCACATAACCCAGAACCTAAAACTTACATGTAGGGGCAGAATTGCAGTTTCGAGCAAAACCTCAGCAAGTGCAGCTGTGCAGGTCAGGTGCTCTTACTAGCCCTGGGTTCCAGCTGAGCTGGCTGTCTCATGCACATCTTTATCCTGTTTTGGCATTAACTTTGGCTTTGCCTGCGTGGTACTTTGCAGAAATAAGGACCTGGGTGTGGCTCCTGCCACTTCTTACTTCCACCCAGCTCCTGCTGCCTTGAGCCAGGGTTCAGAAACTGGTTCTGTGGCCCCTGGGCTGGGGCTGCTGCATTCTGGCTGTAAAATTTTTCTTCTTCATTAGTTGTTCAATGTAAAAAAATACAGGAAATCCAGGTAAAGAAAGTAAAAGTTGCTGTAGATAGTATTCTTTTGAGTGCAGGTGATGATGATGATGTTAACTTTCTCATGGACATTTCATCACTGAAGCTTTAGAACCTCCCTGGGGGAGGGAGACTCAGCCTCACTGCATTGAAGAGGAAACTAAGTCTTAGAAAAGCACATGTCACTTCCTGGGACATGCAGACATAAGCTGTCTCTCTGTGTCATTAAAAGTCTTCTGAAACATCACTTTTTTCTGACTGCATAGTACTGTGTCCATCTGGAGGATGTGCTAGACTTGATTTAACCTGACCTGCTGGGCATTTGGGTCATTTGCAGTTTTTCTGCAACTTTTGTTTTTGGCAACTGGCTGGTATGGGGATCTGAACCCTTGACCCTGGTATTATAATACCGTGCTCTAACTGAGCTAACTGGCCAACCCCATTTGCAGTTTTTTGTCATGTAGAATAGTCTGGATAATTTCTTTAGGTTAAATCTTAAGCAGTGGAATTATATCTAGGGCAGTACTTGCTTTGCAGCTTTTGAAATGTTTGTCCTGTCATTGTTTTCCTAGAAAGATATCATAACAGCTTAGCTTTTTGCTATCAGTGTATCTAGGAGTGCCAGTGTCCTTAATCTTCACCAGCACTGGGTACTGAGATTCTATTTTTCTTTGAGTGTGTCGGTCTTACTAGACCGTTTCTGGCTCAGAGTGGAAGACATGGAAGTAAAAACCCTTCATCTGGAGTGTGGAAGGCAGTGTGGGAAAGGTCCCAGTTCACGTAATGCTCCTGCTTCATCTCTGAAGTCCCCCACAGCGAGCATAAGTTACTTGCCTATCCTGGGGTTGGGTCTTAACAGCCAGGGTCACTTCATAGAGTCTCAGTCTAACTGCTGGGCACGTTGTGAGCTGGAATGGGATCTGGATTGGTTTTGAGCCTTATTTTTGTGGTGCACCAGCTGTGCTGAGGCTGAGTTGGCTCCCTGTCCTCCCCAGACTCCCAGGACTCTGGCTCTCTCTGTTTCTGCTTCCGGTGGCTACTCATCTGGTTCAAGAGGGAATTCCCTTTCCCAGATGTCCTTCGGCTATGGGAGGTGGGACAGTCGGTTTGGGTGGGAGGGCTGAAGTGGGCTCTCCTGTCCATGGGAGGAGCTGGGAGGTTGGGAGGAGTTGGGCCAGGGGTGGGCCCCGACCCTCCCTTTCTCCGGCACCCCAGGTGCTGTGGACAGGGCTGCCTGGCCACAATCTGCACCTGCTGGTGGCCTGTGCGATTCTGGACATGGAGCGAGACACCCTCATGCTGTCTGGCTTCGGCTCCAACGAGATCCTCAAGGTGGGGGATTGGCTCCCTGCTGGCCCTGTCCTCTCCTCCGTGTCCACTTGACCTGGGGTGTGTTCTGTGAAGGCTGGCGCTGCCCTGTGCCACACGGTATCTTAGGGCAGTAGGAACTCAAAATGGGATTACTGGGGTTAGCTGTGAGCACCACGGGGGTGAGACTGGGTGGCTCCCAGCAGTGTCCTCTTAAAGCCTGCAAGTAGGAGTGGCTATAGTAGGCTGGGGGCCCTCTCCCTTCATGGCATCCCAGAGTCTGGCAAGCAGTAAGAGCCAGGGTGACTGCTGAAGGCTTGAGAAGTATGACTCCCCTGACCCCCAGCTCTACATGGAGCCCCCGGAGGGCCAGCACTGTCTCCCCCCATTGTGTCCCCAGCCTGAGCTGCAGCATAGGTGCCCAGGTGGCAGTGGCTGTGTGTGCTTGCCAGCAGCCTGACCCACCCCCTCCTGCAGCACATCAACGAGCTGACCATGAAGCTGAGTGTGGAGGATGTGCTGACACGTGCCGAGGCCCTCTACCGACAGCTGACTGCCTGCCCCGTGAGTCCTTGCCCCTCCCAATAGCCCCCCGCAGTCCTCTCCCATCTCACCACCAACCTTTCACTGCCCTCCACCCCCGCTTCCAGGAGCTGCCCCACAACGTGCAGGAGGTCCTGGGTCTGGTGCCACCCGCAGAGCCCCACAGCCCCTCACCACCCACCTCCCTGTTGCCACTGTTGCCTACCCGGGCCCCACCAGCCCCACTGCCCCCTGTGGATGCAGCCCCACAGCCCGACAGCAGCCTGGAGATCCTGCCGGAGGAGGAGGACGACAGCGCAGACTCCTAATTCTGGCAGCCTGCGTAGCACAAGCACTTTATCCCAGCCCAGCCCCTTGGAGGCTGGGGTAGGGGACTGGAGGATGAGGGTCTGGGCTGCCTTTCGTGCCTCTGCTCCCAGGGTCCAGGCCGCCCTCCTGATGAGCTGGTTTCATTAAACTGACTCTTCTTATGTCCAGTTGGCCTTGTGTTGATGGGGAAGGAAGCTGCCACGTTGGCTTAGACCTGGGTAGGGAGGGGGTGGTGGCTTCTAGTCTCTCTGCAGAAGAGAAGCCTGACCACATGACACTGCTCTGGCCAGTGAGATGTAAGAGGAGGTCCCTTTGAGGGTCAGTGTGGGGGTTTGTGGAGACAGAGCCTGATTCAGGGCTTTTGGAAGAGTGGAGATGGGTGCTCAGGCCTGGGGCTGCCACCTCGTAGCTGGGTGGGGGACACATTCCAGATGTAGCTGAAATGGAAGGGCCTGCTGAGCTGCACTGACACACTGAGGCTCCTGCCAAACAGCTACTGCCTATGTCAGAAAAATAAACTTTAACCCACTGGCAGTCAGCTTTTCTGTGACTTGCATCAGAATCCATCTGTGCCTCGGTCTTGTGACAGTTGGGGATGGTCATTGTTATCTGGGGTGTGTGTGTGGTGTGTTGCCGGTGCAGGGATCCAATGGGGATGGTCATTGGAGGTGCAAGGCAGCGCTAATGGCTTCCAAAAATACTTTAATGCACGGATACATGTCCCTGCCCCAAGCCCTGCCCGAGCCCCAGCCCCTCTTGGCTGGCCGTGCGCATGTGCCCCTCCCGGCTGTTGATCCTGATGGCTGCGCGCAGCGCGGACTTGACGGCCGTCTCCACCCAGCCGTGCGGGCGGGCTGTGTGCTCCCCGGCGAAGTAGATGCGGCCATAGGGGACTGACCAGTCGAAGTCCTGCCCATCGTCCTGGTTGGAGTACCAGAGCGTTGGCGGCTGCACCACGAAGCCACCTTGGCTGTACGGGTCCTCAGCCCAGCGCTTGACGACGCCGGTGCCGTCCCACAGCCGATACACGATCGGCCCGTGCAGCGCCGCCACGTCGTCAAGCGCCAGGCGCAGTGCCTCGCCCAGGCTCAGGCCCGCGAACTGTGCCGCGGAGTCCGACCACGTGTACGAGGCCAGCAGCAGCGCGCCCTCGTGCGGCGGCGGGTAGAAGATCATGCGCGACGGGCGGTCGGTGTTCGAGTGGCCGCCCTCGATGTGCTCGTCGTGCCAGAAGGGGCGGCGGAAGCTCAGGTACACCTTGGTGGCCGGCACGTAGTGCAGTCCACGCAGCGCCTCCTGCCGCTGGCTCGACAGCGGCGGCGAGAAGGTCACGCGCCGCAGCGCCGACCCGCTGGCCGTCAGGAGCGCCACGTCGCCGCGTGTACGAGGCCAGCAGCAGCGCGCCCTCGTGCGGCGGCGGGTAGAAGATCATGCGCGACGGGCGGTCGGTGTTCGAGTGGCCGCCCTCGATGTGCTCGTCGTGCCAGAAGGGGCGGCGGAAGCTCAGGTACACCTTGGTGGCCGGCACGTAGTGCAGTCCACGCAGCGCCTCCTGCCGCTGGCTCGACAGCGGCGGGGAGAAGGTCACGCGCCGCAGCGCCGACCCGCTGGCCGTCAGGAGCGCCACGTCGCCGGCCAGCTCCTTCGGACCCCGCGCCCGGCGCGAGGGCGCGATGTGCACGCGCACGTCGTGCTTCCCCTGCGATACCGCCACGACGGGCGCGTTCAGCAGCAGGGGCCCGGGCAGGATGCTCAGCAGCGCGCGCGGCAGCAAGTCCCAGCCGCCCACGATGCGGCTGAACCTGCGCGCAGGACGCAAGAGTGAGCCGGCTCGGCCGCACCGTCGCCTGCGGTCCCGCTCCCAGGCAGCCCCGTCCGCGCCCCGTCGTTCCACACCACTGGCCTCGCCCCGCTCTCCGCTGACCCGCCCATCCCTGACTCCTCGAGGCCTGAGGAGCGCAGGATCACGCCTCTTCTCTCCTCTTCCCCTTCTTCCGGAGGGACCGGGACGCACAGGCAAGCCTGGCCAGACCGGAGGGTCCCGCCTCTCCGATCACAGCGGCCCCACCCACTGCTCGTTACTTACCCAGGCTGGCCCCGCTCGCCCGCCCCGTCCCTGTTCGCCGGCCCCATACCTCACCTGAGCCGGTCGCTAAGGCAGCTGTGGGCCCGCAGGGCCTCGGCGAAGCTGAGATAGAAGAAGCCGTCCTTGGACATCACGTCTCCCAGAAGCCGCACGGCCGGCTGGCTCAGGTTCCCCTCCCCGAGGAGGTATTCCTGGGGGTGGGAGCGGGCCCGAGTGAGGGCCCAGGTAGGCTGCACCTGCCAGCCCCGTCCCCACTCCTCTGGGTGTCACTCCCTGGCTGGGCCTCCCAATTCTCTGTCACATTCCTGGACCTTAGCGATTCGGTCCCCGCTCTTGTGACAGATGAGGGAAACTGAGGTCCAGAGAGGGGGCGTGCTCAGCCCCGGGGTCAGGCAGGGAGGCAGTGGCAAGTCTGAGTTCCTGGGTTCCTTCCTTCTAACTCTGTTCCTCAGAGAGCAAAGCCGAGGCCCCCACTCACCAGAAGCATGTGTCTTTCAAACTTCTTCATTGCCTTTCTGCAGCCCATTACCTTGAGATCTTTGAGGGCCTGTTGTGGGATAAGCAGACAGTGCTGAGCTGCCGGGGCCGGAAGAGCAGAGGCCAGGCCAGGAGCCAAACCAGGGTTCTCTTCCTGGTCCTGCTCATGGCCAGCCACTTACCACTCTCTTTCAAGCCCCCGGGCCTTTGACCAGTTGTGCCCTCAGCCTTGCCCTCCATTGCCCCTCAGATGTTACGCCTCTGGGAAGTCTTCCCAAACCTTTAATTTCCCCCATTCCCCAGCGTTCTGCCACCCGGTTGTCACAGCTCATCCCATTTGGGTGTTATTTTGCCTGTTTCTGTGCTAGCCTGTGAACTCCATGAAGGTAAGGAACCTGTCTGTCTCAGCTGTGCTGTGTTCCTCTGGTGCTCAGTAATTATTTGTTGCCTCGATCCTTGTGGACATGGACAGAAGCTGAGTCCCCTCTGCCACTGGTCAGCACTGACAGGGCATGACTGCTGAGGTTTATGCACTGGTCCCTCCCCTGCCCATGGCTCTCCCATGGCTCCACAGCACTTGGAACCACACAATTTCAGCCCCTCAGCCTGGTGTTAAATTGGTCACCATCTCTTACAGCAGCTGTGGTTCCACAGAACAATGTCCAGTGCCCAGACCACCCTCAGGGCTCTCCCACCTCCACCCTGCTGCTCCTGCCTCATCCTTGCCTGGCATATGAGTGGCCATCCTTCATTGCTCTGTTCAAATCTCCTCCCCTCCCAGAAGGCTCGCTGTCCCCGTCTGATTTCAGCTCTCTTCCTTGTCCACCTGGCTTCTCCCTCATGGCCAGGGAACTCCCAGAGGAAGGATGTGCCCCCTTTACTCACTCACTCCCTCACTCGCCTCACATTTCCCTAGGTTCCCTGAACTGTTTAGAACCAGTGCACAGAAATGACCTGGACTTGGCCCCCACCCTTGTCCAGGAGGGGAGATGGGCAAGTAAGGGGCCCTCTGAGTTGGGTGTGGGCAGCTCCTCCCTAAGGGCATCAGGGAAGGCCTCCTGTAGGAGGCAATGTTGGAGCTAGTTCTTTAGGGACGGGCAGATAAAAAAGGAAAGACATTCCAGGCAGGGACAGCAGTAAAGGCTTGGGCATGGAACAATGGACAATCAGAGTGGGTGTGAAGGGATATAGAGCTGGGTGCACATGCACCACCATAAAGACTTTGGGGTAACAAAAATTTCTTGCAGGGGGAAGATGAAGCTAGAGGGGTGGGGAAGTTAAGATCATTCAGGGTTGGAAACTGAGCCTGAGGGGCTGGGACTTTGTCCTGGTGACACTGGGGAAGCCACAGCGGGCTGTGAGCAGGGTCAGCTCTGGGTGTAGAAAGTCCCTTCTGTTGCCAGGTTAGTCGGGGACTGGAACCTAGGCAACTGGAGAAGAGGCTGGGGTGAAGGTCCAGGGTAGAGGATGAGGCCTGAGCTGGGGCAGGGACAGAGGTGGAAACAGGGCAAGAATCAAGGGGCAGGCTGGGGACTGACATTGGTGGATGTGGGAGGGGGAGGTAGGGAGTGAAGATGCCTGGGGATCTGCCTGTGACTGAGGGGGTGGATGGAGCCATTGTGAGATTGGGGAACCAGGGACTATGAGGGGTTTAGGGGATGATGCTGAGCTCAGTAGAGCTGGAGGATCCTGGGGGATGGCCAGGGGTCAGTATCTCAGGAGAAAGATCTAGGAGACATCGGCCTGCAGATCCAAGTCTAGGCCAAAGGTGTGGGAAGGTGAGGTTGTCCAGGACAGTGTGTGGGTGAGAAGGGAAAAAAGAGAACAGAAGCGATGGGGCTTTGAGAATCACAGTGTTCATGGGGAAACTAAAGGTTGAAGAGCCGGCAACGTGAAACCAGAGGGATAACAGAAGGAAGAAAAGCGAGGCCAGGAAGGAGGCCAGGGAGGAGGCTGGGCCCAGTAGAAGACGAGGTGGGGGCTAGGGGACAGAACGGAGCACGAGGACGGGGCAGGGGACGAGCTGCAGGTGGAGGCAGGTGGGCACGCCTACGTTGTTGAGAGCCATCTGGTAGATTTCTTCCGGTGAGTGGCCCTTTTCCCTGGGACTCAGGGCGTAGCCCAGCTTCTCGGGCATCTTCTCCACCACATAGTTCCGCAGCTTCACTTCATTCACTTCTGTCCATGTGTTCTCATCGTACTGGGTGAATTTTGTCAGGTTGAGTCCCAGACTCTTGCAGAGCTTGTGGAGGATCCTGAGGTCATGGGAGATGCTGGGTGAGGGCTGGGGCCGGGTAGGGTGGGCATAGGTGGCCCCATCTCTAGTGTGGTTTAGAGAAGAGAGGGGGGTAGTTGGGATAACTGGAGATAGGCATAAGGCTGGGGATGGGGCTAGATTTGGGGTCATTGATGCTGGGGGGTGGTGATGTAATAGGGACAAAGTTGGAAGGCTGATGGCAGTACCAGGATTAGGGTTGGTTTAGAAGCAGGAGTTGGCTTTCATTGGAGATAAAGTTAGACCCCAGACTTGATTTGGAAATGAGGACAGAATTCAAGTTAGATGGAGGTTTGGGATTGAGAAGGGGCCTGAGGTGACTGAGGATGTCAGGGGAGGTAGAGTTGGAGGCTTGGAGGGGACAGGGGTAGAGTTGGCTTCAGCTGGGGCAGGGCTAGCTGGGGGTTCTGGCTGGACGAGGTGGCCTGAGCATTGCAGGAGGCAAAGGGGTGGGGCTGGAGCCCGGAGACCATGAAGTTGGGATGAGATGAAAGATGTAGCTGGAGGTTGGATCTAGACCCAGCTTGCTTTGGCGGTCTAGGCTTGGTGGTCAGAATTGAAGTTCAAGCTGACACTGATGCAGGCATCAAATTGGGACTCTGGTTGAGTCTGAGTACAGAGGTGGGTCTGGAGGGGCCCCAGTGCCCGCCTGGTTGCCGGGTCAGGCCTTACCTGTGGGAGCTGGGCATGCGCATGGCTCCCAGCTCCCCAATCCACCCTGTCTTCTGGTCCCGGTAGGTGAGGATGCGGCCCCCGATCCTGTTATCCGCCTCCAGGATGGTGACCTAAAGGATGGGGGTGGGGGTGAGCAGGGTCCTTCAGCTCCCCTCACCGACTTAGACTAGAAGAATTCCTTTCTTCATGAGAAGTGGGAGGGGCTGGTGGGAGAATAGAACGTACTGAGCATTTTCAGGCTGCAGCAGGAAGGCCACCGGCTAGACTGCAGAGGGACTTCCCAGCTCAGGGAGTGGGAAAATTTCCCGTATACATAGAAACCCCTGGGCTGGCCCATTCTCATTCTCGGACTTCAGTGAGAGGGACAGTGTTTAGACCTCAGGGGGCACTTCCCCTTGGTAGAGTTTCCATCTCCACCAACACAAATCTTCATCCCCATTCAGTGGGACTTCCCTCTGGGATTAGAGAGAATGGGGCAGGAAAAGTTAAAGACTCTCAGTGCAGACACATTAGAGCAGGGGCTTTTGCGCCTCACTCCCCAGACCAGAGTGGAAAGGATAGCTCCTTCTCTCTACCTCCCACCACCTCTAGCCCCTCGAGTGGGGATGTGGTCAGGTCCCTCCACCCAGGGATTTGCAGCCTGCAGCAGAAAGGACTCAAAGTAGACTGCAAGCAGCACTTCTCACCTTGTGTCCTGCATCGCTGAGCACCTTGGCAGCCACCAGCCCAGCCACACCAGCACCAACCACAATCACCTTCTGGGGCTTTGAAGTTCGATTGAGGCCCAAGGTCACCACCCTGAGCAGCTTCTCATAGTCAGGATCGTGCATGCATCTCTCAAAAGGGTCCTGGCTGGGGACAGCCTCCTCCCAGTCCAGGGAGGCTGCCAGGCTGAGGAAGATGGGCATGAGGGCAAGGAAGCACAGGGCTGGGGAAAAGCAAGGACAGAGTCAGTGGACAGGCACCGGTGAGGTGAGGAGAAGGGGTTCTACCCCTGTCCCAGAGCCCTCTCCCCTCCCTACTTACCCAACCGGGCCATGACTCTTAGGTGGGAGATGGTGTCTGGGGTGGAGGAGAAGTGAGAGTCACTGTGACAAGGCCTGGGTCCCCCTAGCCTGACACCATCTCCCTGTAGCCTGCCCAGCTGCCTGCCTCAGCTCTTACTCCATGACTACCTTTCTCTCTGTACCTGTGTGTCCCCCGATCCCATTCCTTCAGAGTCCCCAGGACTATTCTCACCTCCCTTCCTCACCTGTCTGCCGTCATCTCTCCCCTTGCCCCCGACCCCCTCCCATGTCCTTTGTTCAGCTCTCTCTCTGCCTCCTTGTCTCTCCTCTTTTCACTCTACCTCTCACCTCCTCCTGTCTCATCAGCTCTGTTTCTATCTCCTTTCCTCTCTCCCCCTGCCTCGCAGTCTCTGTTCTCTGCAGGTGGCCACATCTCCCTACCTCCAGCTCTCTGGAACAGCAGCAGTTGCTCTCCTCTCTCCCCTTGGCAGTCTCTGCCTCATCCCCTTCTCTCTACTTAAACTAGCTGAGCCCCGCCTTCCTCTCCCTTTGGGAAATCAGGCTGGGGGGAAATGAAACTGCTTTTCTGGAGTTGCAAGGTTAGATGCTGCAAGGTCAGATGCTCAGAGTCTAGTTAAGGCTGGAGTGGGTGGCCAGTGGTGGAAAGGGGGTCGGGAGGAAAAAAGTCAGTCTATTTGCTTCCTCTTGCCCCAAATAGTTCTGGGTGGGGTGGTTGGGAGGCCAGAAATAAATGCTCAGGTAACCATGCTAAGGTGGGGATTGCCCCCTCAGCCTGCCCCAGTCACTGATAGCGGGGTTCCTGTCTCTACCCTGCCCTGTGCTCTCTCTGCCTCCTTGATTCCTGGTCTCTGGCCTTGGGGCTGTGTGTCCTCTGAGTTCTTCTTTGTGTCAGCTGTCTCTGTCTCCTGCAGGACCCTCGCTGGCTTCACTCCCCTTTCCACATGACACTCTGAGCCTCAGCCTCCCCCTTCATGAAATGGCATAGCAGTGGGGCTTGCAGGCAGCAGCACAGTGGTCAGGGCATGAGCTCTGGGCCAGCCTGCCTGGGTCCTGAGCCTCACACCTGCCAGCCAGGGACTTTGTGCAAGGGCCTTCCACTCTCTGTGGCTCCATATGCAGCTGTCAAATGGGGCCATCACAATGTTGTAGGATTAAGTGAGTGAATCCAGGTAAGTCCTGTGAACAGCACCTGGGTCAGTACTAGGACCTTCTCCTTTGGAAATGCCAGCTACTGTGACTGTGGGGGCACCAGGAGTGGCCACCTGGCAGGTGACGCACCCAGGATATATGCTTGTCCCTCCTTCCCATCCCTACCCTGACAACAACTGTGGTGCTCAGGGAAGGGTGTGGGTGGCACCTTGGAGAAATGGCTCCCAGGAGCCTTTGCCTTTTTCTGCCTTTGGCCCTCTCTGAGGGATGGGCGGCAGTAAAAACCAGATGACCTGGCTCCAAGGAGTCCCCAGGAGGGGCAGCCCTGGGCAGCGGGGGACTCACAGCTTCAGGGACTTTAGCTCTGAAGTGGGTGGGGTGGAGAAGCAAGAGGAGGGACTTTTTCTTGGGGTCGAGGAAAGGAGCCAGGGCGCGGGCGAGGAGGAAAGTCTGAGGGAGGCAGATTCTCTGTAGCAAGGTTGGGGGAAGAACAAGATGGGAAATAGTCTTTCTTAGGGTGGAGAAGCAAGAGGAGGGACTTTTTCTTGGGGTCGAGGAAAGGAGCCAGGGCGCGGGCGAGGAGGAAAGTCAGAGGGAGGCAGATTCTCTGTAGCAAGGTTGGGGGAAGAACAAGATGGGAAATAGTCTTTCTTTCTTTTTTTTTTTTTAATGGATGACAGGTAAGGGGATCTTAACCCTTGGCTTGGTGTTGTCAGCACCACGCTCTCCCAAGTGAGCGAACCGGCCATCCCTATGTGGGATCCGAACCCGGGGCCTTGATGTTATCAGCACTGCACTCTCCCAAGTGAGCCACGGGCCGGCCCAAGATGGGAAATTTTTTTTTTTTTCCTTTTTGTCTTTTTCCGTGTCCGGCAACGGGACCGCAACCCTCGGTGTTGCTCCCGCGCCTCGCTCAGCCNGGAAAATTTCTTTTTTTCCTTTTTGTCTTTTTCCGTGTCCGGCAACAGGACCGCAACCCTCAGTGTTGCTCCTGCGCCTCGCTCAGCCAGTGAGCGGGAACCGGTCTGTATGTGGGATCCGAACCCTCGGGCGGGAGCGCCGCCGCGCTTCCCAAGCGGCGCACTATCCAGTGCGCCACCGGGCCGGCCCCATGGTGGGAAATTTTCAACAGTAAATCAAAGAGGGATGTGGTTTGATGGAGGGGAGGGCATGGGGGGGTGTATGTGAATGAGTCAGAACCATATGATGCAGGGGGTTGGGGGAAGGCAGTGGCCAAGAAGGAAACAAAAGCAGAGAGCTGGACAGAGCCTCCGAGACTGAACACTGAAAGCTCAAATCAGCAAAAATAGTGACCACAGAGATTGTCCCCATGGTGAGCACCTGCTTGGAGGCTGCCCTGTGTTCAGGGCTTTGCCGTCGTTGTGACCCTCACAATATCTGCACTTGACAGATGAGGACACTGAGGCTCAGAGATGGCAAATGGCAAGTAGGTGGAACAGAAATCGATGCGGAGGCTCAGAGAAGGAAAGGGACTTGCCCAAGGCCCCAGAGCCTAGGTCTCCTGTCGTAAACTTGGCCACTTTATTCACAGTGACGTGGTGTTTGAATGCTGTGGTATCATGACCTTATTCACCTATGCCTTGCCAGATCCTGTGCTCTGCAAACATGACTTCTAATCCCAGACCTCCTGACCCAGAGAGGCGAAGGCACTTGTCCTGGGTCCCTCACCAGGTCCCGCCCAGCTCCTGGTCCCAGCTCAGAAGACCTTCGGTTCTACAGCCTCGGGAAGGCGCTTGTCCTGGGTCCCTCAGTGGGGAACGGCAGCGCTGGGGGTTCCTCACCAGGTCCCGCCCAGCTCCTGGTCCCAGCTCAGAAGACCTTCGGTTCTACAGCCTCGTGACAATGTCCCACAAGAGTGAAAAGAAACAGAAACTACCACAGAAAGTGGTGGAAGACACAGAGCCAAAGGGCTCCTAGGGCATGTCTAGGCAAGTTTTTGGGTTCCCAAAGTGGGTGGTTGGGGCCCTGCTGGGTCCCTGGTTCTTTCCCACACAGAGCCGCTGTTCCAAGCTTCCCCTGGCTCTGGACACATGTACACTTGCCTTAGGGACTGTGGAAGAGAAATGCAGTGCCAGCCTCACCCTCAAGGGATCAGTGGGGAAGGAGCAGGGAGGGAAATAGAGCATCACTTGTTAGTGACGAGCTCAGACTCATGAGTTAGGGATGGGGCCAAGGCAGGGTCTCTCCACCTCGGCACTATTGACATTTGGGGCTGGATTACTCTTTATTGTGAGGGACTGTTTTGTGCGTTGTAGGATATTGAGGAGTATCCCTGGCCTCCACCCACTAGATGCCAGTAGCACTCTCCCTGTCCCCCAACCAGGCATGACAAACAAAAATGTCTCCAGATATTAACAAACGTTCCCAGGGGAAGGGGAGGCAAAGTCACCCCCAGCTGAGAGCCACTGGGCTAGGGTTAGGTTTACATTAAGTGTAACTCCAAAGAATGGCTCCAAATGTGGTTCAGGATGGAGACCTAGGTACAATTAGCAGGAAAATAAGAAACGCTAGAAGACCACATAGCAGAGCGTACTACATAGGATGTTTGGAGTCAGGAGGTTGTGAATAATTTGGGGATTGCTTTTTTTTTTTTTAAAGATGACTGGTAAGGGGATCTTAACCCTTGACTTGGTGTTGTCAGCACCACACTCTCCCAAGTGAGCCACAGGCCGGCCCCTGGGATTGCTTTTTTCCTTTAGGCTTTTTTGGTGTATTTCATGTTGTCTTCATTCGGGGCCGGCCGGTGGCTCACTCGGTAGAGTGCAGTGCTGATAACACCAAGGCCTCGGGTTCGGATCCCACATAGGGATGGCCGGTTCGCTCACTGGGGATTGCTTTTTTCCTTTGGGCTTTTTTGGTGTATTTCATGTTGTCTTCATTCAACATGTATTATTTTTGCAACAAAAGAAAAAAATCCCAATTAAGGTTAGTTTGAAGCTACATCAGACCAGGTGCTCACAGTTAGGAGGGATAGGGCCGGGTCAGGCCTGATGCCAATCTCCACTGGTAGAAATAATTGGCCTTTCCAGAATCATTCCTGATAATACTAAAGAGATTGGTGTTAGGGTTAAATTAGGAGTACAGATTAGAGTGGAATGAGTCAGGAAAAAGTGGTTTGGGTGAGGTTGTGTCCTCAACTTGTGCACAGGAGACAGGGCAGGATGCATGGTGAGAACTGGTTTGGGATGGGGGGCAGGAGTGGAGACAGCAAAGGTAAGAGGACAGGACAGGACAGAGCCAGAGGAAGGAGTAGAGGGGAGGAAGGCTAAGTCAAGTATCTGCTTCAGTTGGTTTTGGGATATCCTGATTTTATAATGGAGTTTCTAGAAAACAAAGTTAATTCTTCTAGGTAAAAAATGTTCTTCAGGGGAAAAAACCCTACCCTATTTGGTTTACTTCTAGAACCACAATGACAGTTCTAATGGGGTTTACTTCATGTTTGCAGCAGCCAGAGACCTGGCCCTAGCCCCGGCCGCACTGGGGGCCTCTGTGGCCCATCAGGGCAGATAATACCCATGGTAGCCACACAGATGTGCTAAGGACGGGGCTACATACTCTTTTCTGAGTCAGTCCAAAGACCCTGGGTAGACAGAATTAAAACTTTCACCAAGTCTCAGAGTGGGGCAAGGCCTGCCCAGGCGGTGCCCAGGGACCCAGGTGGAAGTCAGATGGTCCAGGCCTGGATGGGGGAAGGGGTGCAGAGGATGGAATTACCTGAGGCCCCCTTACCACAGAGACCCCCTGCCCCCTCTTTCTCCAGTTTTTTAAACACCCCTGGGCCCTGGAAGGGGACACTCACTGCATGGCTGGCTCTGGGGGGCTTTCTCAACACCCATGGCCTTTGTGGTTAGCATGAGACAGAAGTCATCATTGGGCTTGTGCAGAACCGGGGTGAGTGGTGGTAGCTTTGTCCTGGTGCCCTTGTTAGACCGGAGATGCCAGGGTCCTGGTGTGGGGTCAGAGTGGGTGGGAGGCTGTGGAGGGCAGGCCCTCCTTTTTCAAAAATGTTTTATTATGAAAACTTTCAAACATATATATATATGAGACTAGGATAATGAACTCAAGTGAATTCATCAGCTCATATCATAGCCCTTGTTTCATTTATATTTTCTCCCTCCACCCCACTGGATTATTTTAAAGCAAATCCCAGACATCATATTGTTTTGTAGGTAAATACTTCAGGATGTTTCTCTAAAACAGAGATCGACAAACTTTTTCTGTAAATATTTGAGGCATTGCAGGCCACACGGTCTCTGTCTCAACTCCTCAACTATGCCCTCTAAGCAGCCAAACACAATATGTAAGTGAGTGGGATGGCTATGTTCCAGTTCCAACAAAACTTTGTTTACAAAAACAGAAGGTGGGGCTTTAGTTTGTCAACCTCTGCTCTAAAAGATCTTTTTTTTTTTTTTTTTCCTTTTTGTCTTTTTTCGTGACCGGTCACAGGATCGCAACCCTCGGTGTCGCGCCTGTACCGCGACCGGCAATGGGATCGCAACCCTCAGTGTCGCGCCCACACCACACTCAACCAGTGAGCGGACTGGTCTCTATACGGGATCTGAACCCTCGGCGGGAGCGCCGAGTACGCCACCGGGCCGGCCCTAAAAGAACTTATCTTTAAAAATGAGAACTTATTTAAAAAAAATAAAACCACTCAGGCCGGCCCGTGGCTCACTCGGTAGAGTGTGGTGCTGATAACACCAAGGCCCCGGGTTTGGATCCTATATAGGGATGGCCGGTTTGCTCACTGGCTGAGCCTGGTGCTGACAACACCAAGCCAAGGGTTGAGATCCCCTTACTGGTCATCTTTTAAAAAAAAAAAATAATAAAAAAAAAAATAAAACCACTCACCGAACTTCTTAGAGGGAAAAAAGAAAAAACAAATGACGCCCCCACACCAGTATCACATTTAAAAATGGCTATAATTCCTTAATATCACTAAATCAATGTTCACGTTTCCAAGATCATCTACAATTTTTTTTAACAGTTGGTTTGTTTGAGTCAACATTCAAATCACAGCCCACACTGCATTTCAGTGCTACTGAGTGTCTTTGTCAGTGTCACCTTCAGTTCTGTGGATTTGAGGGTCTGGTGTGACCCCAAGGCACCAGGCTAGGCCCTTGCAAGGCAATGCACCCATCTGGCTCCTGCCATGGGGAAATCTTTGGCATTCATGGGGGTGGAACTGGATGGTGTCTGGAGATGAGATGGAATGGGGGTGCCCAGGTGAGTCACTGTATTTGAAATGACTAGTACCAAGGTGTGTGGGAGCTGTGGTTGTGGTGCTGTGAGACAGGCATGGGGGCAACTGGGGTCACTTAAGCCTGGCTCTATGGCTGGCTGGTGTTCAAAAAGCAGACCTGGCTCCTGAGGTGGGGAATTTTACTTCCTGGGATGTTTCTTGGAGCGCTACTGCCCTGAAAGTCTGAGGGCAGACTGTTAAAGTACCCAGATAATTTTGGGGTTCAGTGCATACTTGGGAGCAGTGGTGTGCTGGAGCTGGCTCATACCAGTTCACGAGAGCCGATTGTTAAATTTTCAGGATTTTTTGGTTTTGCTTTGTTAAGCCATTTATTATTAAAACATAAATTACATTTATGACTAAATAAATTTTACTGAAGACAAAGACAATACTCAAAGCTCATCCCTTCCTAACTATTTGACTACATTTTACACTATATGCTCTTGCTCTTGTGGTGAGTTTATTGTCTCTTCTGAAATTTTCAGTGTACAGTGGAATCAGTCATGGTGGGAATATTTACAGCATGGAAACTGGCATCTACTGTAAGTCAGGGCTTTCTCCCATCTCGGAGCACACCTCTGCTTGGGAATCATTTGTTTGAACCTTCCATAGGAGATCAAGGCTGTCCTCTTGCTCTGGAAATCTCTAGCTGTGACAAAAAATCTGACCTCTTTGATGCCAAGCTGTGCCCACTGGGGCAAGAGAACCGTCCTGGGGAAAGGGCTGGGCTATGAGGTAAGCAGTTATTTGAGGGTTCCTTTGAGATTAAAAGAAAGCCATAAGCATACATCTAATTGCCACTCTTATCCCTAAACAGGGAAAAGAAATGCAATAAGAGCTTACTGTGGAGAGATTCACCTTTAAAACCCTCTGATTCCAAATTTAGTCACCACATTTGTTGTCTTCATGTTACTTAATGAAGAGGAACTTAAGTAGAGGCCATTTGTATGGACTGGCAAGGAAGTGCATCTGTTTTCTTCCTGGAAAGGGAAACTGCAGTTAAAAAGAAGCCGTCATCTCCAGGGTGGCACCCAGTCAGCTGCGCATCCTATTGCAATCTTGGAAACCCTCCCCGACTCCCCCAGGAAGCGCGTTGGAGCCATTTCTCACATGGTTCCAGACCACTGTAGCTATCCCTCCTGCATGGGGACCCTCCCCAGCATTCCTCAGGGTGTGGGAAAAAATATTAGAACTTTAAATTGTCTTTTTAAAAATACAAGAAAGCAAGCTTTCTTAATGCTTAATATTCAAAATAAAATAATGGGAATACACATACATTAAAAATTTATGCCCCCCAATTTTTTCCTTATGATTGTGTGGCCCCTGCCAACTACCTCCTTGTGGGCAGAGAAACATTGCTCCATTTTCCTAACTACAATGCCAGATCAGAATCTGGGGTGAAGTGGGTGTGAAATGGATGTTGAGATAAACAATGAAAAAAAAAAAAAAGATACTGAATAAATGTAGGTAAAACATAAGTTACATTCTGCTTTCTGGGGGAACTTGATGCCTCCTTTGGGCAGAGGGGTCAGATATGGGTCAAGGCTCATGGACTCCTGAAATAGGCCGTCGTAGGGGGAAGAGCTTTCAGAGAGAAGCAACTAGGGTAGTCAGGGTCTTTCTCCTCTAGTTTGTTCCCCTTCCTCTCCTGTGGCTTCTGCTTAGACAAAACTCTTGTCCCTTGAAGCCCAAGATGATCCTAGGAAATAGTAATCACTCATGATCATGACTTTGGAAGGCTTTTGGAAACAGGGCCATAAATCTCTAAAATATATGGAACAGCTTGGTGTATGCTGTAGATTGAATTGTGTCCCCCAAAGTTCATATATGAGAAGCTAAATTTCCTCTGCGACAGTGTTGAGGGTGGGAAATCCAATTATGGTGATTGAAAAGGGTGGATCCTTGAAGAAGTGATTAAACTGTAGGACCGTGCTATAGTGAATGGATTAATAGTGGTGGTCAGGGGTGTGGTTCTGAGGGCTTTAAAGAGTGAAGGAAGCTAGTCTCTCTCTCTCTGCTCTGCCATTTCTGCCATGTGAGACCCCTGGGCCACTGTTGCCACCACCAAGACCCTCAACAGATGTGTTCCCTGCACTGTGGACTGCCCAGCCTCTGAAACTGTAAGCAATAAATTTAATTTTCTTACAAATTACGTAGTTCCGTGTATTTTGTTATAAGCAACAGAAATGGACTAATACAGTATGGAAAAGGCCAAGAGAGGCTGAAGGGCCAGACTTTCCATACCCCAGCAGGAGTGAGACCTAAGTGCTTGGTATCGTTCAAGGGAGGCTGGAGGGCAGAAGCAGAATGTTGGGCCAGTATCTGGAAATCACCCAATACAGATCGCATCCTAGATTTACCTGTTTTTCGGTTGATAAAATTCCTCAGTAAACACACAGGGTAACCACACACAACACCCCCCATCACAGGCTCACCCATGCACTCCTCTTCCACCCTCGGCACCCTCACTTTCTCCCAGAGGAAACCTTAACTTGAATTTGTGTATTACCTCTCCTCAAACAAGAGCCGTTTCATCACATACTGATAGAGTACTGTTTAGTTTAGCTTACTGATGTGTGTTTCAGACAAATGGCATCCCACTTGACAGTCTTCTGGAACCTGGTCTTTTTACTCCTTTTAGCATTTATCCATGTTAACATCAGCTTTTTTCTTTCAAATATATTTTATTTAGGAAACCAACACACAGTCATAGGTATTTTAGAGAACGCAGCAAAGTGTAGAAAACAGTTAAGACACAACTGCCTGCTTCTGCCTTCTAGACAAACTGGATCTTACAGAGTTAACTTTGGTACTGGGATGCTAAGAACCAACTGTGGCCACCATTGGCAACTGTGGCCATGTCAGCAAGTGTTTTTGTGGACTAACATGCCAGGCTTCATCTTTGTTGTTCGTTAATTCGACACGTGACAAGGATTGTGCTGGGGACACAAAGGGGGGACAATAATCAGTCCCTGCCCACAGGAGCTTGCAGTCTAATGGTTAGACAGAGAAGCAAACAGTTGAGACAATACAGCATAGTAAGTGTTATGAAAGATGCAAGTTCAGTGTCCTATGGGGACCCAGAAGATGGCCACCTGTCCCAGGTTTGGGCAGGTAAAAAGACTTCCTGGAGGATGAGTGGGTATGTTAGTCAGGCAAAGGGAAGACCTCTTGGTTCCAATCTTACTCTTTTTTCAATACCTGTTCAGATCCCTCAGCTGACCATTGTCCTTTGAAATTCTCTATCCCATTGTCTATTTATTCACAATGCACTTCATCTTGGTGGTTAGTTTTCACGAGTACACATCTTTACTCCAAAACTAGGCTGTTGTCTTCTCTGAGGTTGGAGATTCTTTTAACCTTAGTATTTTTTCACTGCACCTACGATTATTCATGGACAGAGTGGCTGCCCAACCAACCGTGGCTGGGAAATAGGTTTTTCTTACGTGAACCAGCACTTCTCCATCACTTGGCTGGAGTGAGGATAAGGTGGGTAGTTGTAGTAGGTGAAAAGAAGCCAAAGATATGCAAACGAAACATACAGAAATACAACCTACACAGGTTGCTGCCTGGACCAGAGGGCTCAGAATACTTGCTATTTTCTAGTGGAAAAAGTCAAACAGAACAATTCTCTCAACAGCACAATCATTTGAAAGAAAGAAAGAAGCTAACAAGTATCTCATTGTAACTAAAAACTAGGCAACACGGCACATTCCCCCCACTGAACACCCTTGACATCTGCGGGCCCTGAAGAGCCATTCAGTCAAATGTGATCCGGAAGCTGCGCTCCTGCTCCTTGCGACGCCCCTCGCACACCTTGGTCACCTCCTCCACTTTCCTCTGTAGCAGTGCTGAGTTCTGGTCGATCCACTGCAATGAGTCCATGTGCGCATTGAGGATCTTGCAGATCTGCTGCAGTGGGTCACTGGTGTCAGCAGGGCCTCCAGACGTGTTCAGGTGCTCGATGATGTCCTTGAGGTCCTGGGCCATGCGCTTCAGCTGTGCGTCAATGTTCTCAGCCAGCTTGTAGGTTTTCTCGCGCTCCTCGTCAGCATGCTGCAGGTAGATGGTCCCACTCTGCTCCTTGACTGACTCCTCCAGTGGGCTCAGCAGGTCTTCCAGCTCCTTCTGCTGGGACAGAATGAAGTCAAGCTCTTGGTCCAGCCTCTTCTGGTCCAGCTTCACCTTCTCTACCTCACGGTGCAAGCTGGTGATTTTCTCCCCATTCTCAATCAGTGTGCGGTCCCAAGCATTGACCTGGGTGGCTTGCTGGAGAAAGTGCCGCTCCTGGTCTTCCAGCTCCAGGCTCCACTTGTTGATCAAGCTCTCTAGCTGTGCATAGGTCATCGCGGGGCTGGTGGCTACCCCAGTGGCTGCACTGGGGCCAGGTGGAGCAGTCACAGTGGCTGCTGTGTTGCTGGAGATCCCAGCTGGCACCAGTGGTTTTAGGTTCAAGGCAAAGCCGGTAGTGGTGGCGGCGGTGGTGGTGGTGGTGGATGTTGCTGTGGAGGTGCCAGAAGCTGTTCCAGGGGCCTTTAAGCTGAAGCCTAGTGTCCCAGCCCCAGGAGCTCCAGCTGTGGTTGCTGGGGCACCAAGGGTGAGGCTGGAGGCAGTGGATGAGATTGGAGCAGTTGCTATAGAGGCAAAGAGGGTGGGCCCAGCACTGGTGGTGGCTGAAGTGGGTGCAGGAGCAGCTGGCTGTGTGGCCCCTGCTCCAGTGGCTGCTGGCGTGGTCGGAGTGAAGGGTAATCCGGCAAGTGCTGTGGGCTGGGCTGAATTCCCCACCAAGCCAATGGTGAAACCAGAGGTCCCAGTCTGGGACGTGCTTCCACCAGTGAATGAAAACCCTCCAGATGTGGTGGATGGAGCAGCAGAGGTGGTGGAGGAGCCGAACACAAAGCTGGTGGGTGCTGCCCCCTGGCTGGAGGTGACAGTGCTCGATATGGCATTGGTGAGGGTGCTGCTGCCGAGTCCAAAGCCACTGGGGTTTGCTATGGCCGAGGTAGCAGCTGTGTTGCTCAAGTTTAGCTTTGGAGCATTGATCCCTAAGGAAAATCCAGTTCCTCCTGAAGCAGGAGTGGTTGTTCCAAAATTAAATCCTGGAGTCTGTGTTGCTGGAGCTTGGGTGGTTAGTGAGAACAGGCTGGTAGAGGGGGTACTTGCAGCTGGTTGGGAGGGAGTCCCAAAATTAAACCCTCCAGTGCCAGAAGTGGAGAAAGAAAACCCTGTCGCAGGTGTGGTTGTTGCTGTCTTTGCAGTGCCAAATGTGAATCCGCCTGTAGGGGCCCCCGTGCCTCCAAAATTAAACCCACTCATAGCTCCAGACTCCAGTGGCAGCAGCTACTTCAGCTCCCAAAGCAAATCCGCCAGCGTCTGCAACCTTGGGAAGATTTTTAAAGCAGAGGAAGTGACATGATCAGATGGCAGTTTTGGTAAGGCAACCCTAGTAGCATGATGGAGCACCCGTGGTTTGGAGGGTGACTGGCAGGACTGGACAATTATAACATGGGGCAACCCTCCCTCTTCCATGTAACCTAAACCAGGCTCTGCTAAACGAGGAAAGAAGGATCCAGATGCATGAGTCCAAGCCCCAAGGGTCAGATGCTAGGAGCTGGGTGTGCTCCGGGCGTGCATGGCTGCACAGCGGGAGCCTTCCACTGCTATAGGGGAGGAGGGAGAACAGCACCCTGAACTGATCTCAGACTCTGGGGTGGGGATTAGATTTGAGATGCTTGCAGTGAGTGGGACTCGAAGGACAAAAAATAACACCTGAAGGACTTGCTCCCTGGAGTGGAACCTGTGAGGTTCTCCTGTTGCCCTCAAGCAGGGTATGTATGCTGACCCCCCTCATGCCGTCCCAAGTGCCACTTCTGATCTCATCAAGAGAAGACTAGCCCCAGACACCTTGGCTATACAGCAGGGCCCTGGCTGCTAAAGGCCCATCCAGGTACACACCCTCGCCATTCAGGGCATGCTGGAGTGTCCCCCTCCTAACTCAGGGGTGGGCATGACACCCAAGTGCTCAGAGCAGTAGATCTCCCTGACTGCAGCAATTGGTTCAAAGATAAATTGATACCCAAGTCAGCCAATCGGAGTCCTTCCCAAGGATTTTCCTCCAGGCCCAAGAGATGGTAGCTTCCTTCATCTGCAGGTGCAGTGCAAAGAGGGTGTACACCTGGCCCCTCCCCTGGGCATCTGCTCAACCATCTGCAATGGGAGACAATAAGCTACAGGGTGGGGGGCACAAACAGGGATAAAGAGCACCCCACCAGTAGCTCCACGGCCAGCACATCTCTGTTCAGTTTAAACTGACTAGGTTGCTGTGACTTTTAACTGAAAAAGCCCCAGGCAGTGCCATTATCAGCCTGAAAGTTGAAGGCAGACACTCTACCTCTCATAACCACCCAGAGGCAAGATTATTTTTTGTTTGTTTTTGGTGGTTGGCTGGTAAGAGGACCAAACCCTTGACCTTGGTGTTACAAGGCCGTGCTCTAACCAACTGAGCTAACCGGCTAGCCCCCAGAGGCAAGATTCTTGTCCCCATATCAGAGATGAGAAAGTGGGCTCAGAGGACTATGTGTGGCAATTTATTCAGGGTTATCAGTTAGCAAGTGGTGAACCAGGAGTGAAGCCCAGGCTGTGGGCCTGCTGGAAGCACCGATTTCTACTGGCCTGATTCATGAGCCTCCTTGCCCAGTGTGCAGACCAGATAACAGGGAATTTCCCTACATCCAATTAGGGGATCAATTACATATCAGATAGAAGGGCAGACGGTTTGCACTATGCCCACCAATACACATGTAATGAAGGAGTTGATGACAGAGACTGAAGCAGAATGCAAACTTACTAGTGCAGTGTGATCTCAGCTGTGGGAAAACAGCATGATTCTGAAGAGAGGGGGTTGGGAAGAGATACACCCAGAGGCAGACAGGGGCTGTCTTGTGGTAGGACTACACATGGACCATCTTTCTACTTTGCAGTAGTTTCCAAATGTTCTCTCTATACAGTGGAGAAACATAATTGATGGGCTCATTATGACTGTGGCCAGGAGGTAAGCAGAGAGGTGCATTTTAACATTGGGGACAGTCTCTGGGAGCTGGTGGGGAAAGAAGTGAAGGGAGCCCAGGAGGTGCTGTGAATACTCAGCTGTGAAGTTCTCATGAAAAAGACCTGGGTTGTGGCTGACCTCAAGTTTAGTATGAATTCATGGTCTGCTGCCCCATTCAGTGGGTCCTCAGGCTGCGTGACAAAAAGTGGCATTTTTTTTTTTTTTTTAAAGATGACTGGTAAGGGGATCTTAACCCTTGACTTGGTGTTGTCAGCACCACGCTCACCCAGTGAGCTAACCGGCCATCCCTATATGGGATCTGAACCCGTGGCCTGGTGTCATCAGCACCGCACTCTCCCGAGTGAGCCACGGGCCGGCCCCCAAAAGTGGCGATTCTAATGTAGAAATTTCTGGGCGGCTCTGTGCGGCCAGCTCTATGCTACACACTCTCCTCGTCCAGACCCTCAGCTCACTTCGCCACTGTCCTGGGAGAAAGGATTATGGCCCTGGTGTGCAGATGTGAGAAGAGGCTCCAGTGGAAATAAATTGTCAGTTCCCACCCCACAGTGGACCATGAACCACAAGCCCTTCTTTACTTCCACTCCACCATATGTGTCCTCCTCTGGGGCATGGCCACTATTCTGTTCCCCAGTTTCCACCCAGCACCCTCAGATTCTTATTTTCCTTTCATCCAAAGTAGATGAGGTAGGCTCAGCTGCAAGATTCCTCCCTCTTTTCAGGCATGAAGTCAGTCTCCAGACATAAGGAAAAGACTTGGGGTCTTTTCTTACCACTTACTAGCTGTAGGTCCTTAGGCAAGTTACTCCTGAGCCTCTCTATGCCTGTTTCCCCATTTGTAACAATCCCTGTCCACTGTGAAGAATAAACAAGGTCACAAATGAGAAGCCAAGTGGTTGGCCCAGAGAAGTATCCACAGGTCTGTTTCCTCTTCCCTCTCCCAAGCCACTTTTTATTTCTCATTGTATTCACAGGGAATTCTCTCCTAGATTGAGTCAGAGAAAATCTATTATAGCTGCCCCCACCTCTTCTCCTGTGCCCTTCAGCCTTATGCATAGACCCCTGATTTTTTTCAGTCTCATTCTCCTCCTCCTCCTCCACGCAACCATGTGCTTCTGGGGAGATGACTCCAGGGCCACCTGCACTGACTCTGCCTGGTCTAGGCCAGTGGATCTCAACTGGCTGGCTATTAGCACCTGAGAGCACTCAAAATGTACTATGCTGCCAGATCAATGAAGTCAGTTTCTCCTGGGGCAGGATCTTGGCCTTGGCATTTTCAAAGCTCTCTGGGGGCTTCTGAGAAAAGCCTCTTCACTTTCAGGAGGCCATGGCAAGTATCTGAGCCCCCATAACCACTGGGGCCCTGCCCTGCATCCAGATCTCTTCCTGTGCAACAGAACACACCTCTCCACTGTGCAGCCACCTCGAGCTAGGTTTATTATTAGCAGCTAAAGGCATCCGAACAGTTACACCTACTCAGTTTTCAAGACCTCACTTTGAGAGCGCTTTTGCTATTAATAAGTTACAGCTAAAATTTTCCAGAAGAGAATTTATAAAAAGTTCTTTGAAACTATTAACTATAAGAAAAACAATCTTCTGTGGGGCTTGTCTGATTTAATGGTTCACCGCTTATTAAATGCCTCATCAGTTCCCGACACCTCAGGTGCCAGGGAACTATTCATAATGGCGAACACATACTGATCCAGCCCTGTTCTTTTTTTTTTTTAAAAAAAAAGATGACGAGTAAGGGGATCTTAATCCTTGACTTGGTGTTATCAGCATCACGCTCTCCCAAGTGAGCGAAACGGCCATCCCTATATGGGATCTGAACCCGTGGCCTTGGTGTTACCAGCACCACACTCTCCTGAGTGAGCCATGAGCCGGCCCCAGCCCTGTTCTGTTTGTTCCATGTCTTACTCATTTACCACTGAAAGCAAACTTTGGGGCAGGTGTTATCAGCATCACGCTCTCCCAAGTGAGCGAAACGGCCATCCCTATATGGGATCTGAACCCATGGCCTTGGTGTTACCAGCACCACACTCTCCTGAGTGAGCCACGGGCCGGCCCCAGCCCTGTTCTGTTTGTTCCATGTCTTACTCATTTACCACTGAAAGCAAACTTTGGGGCAGGTCCATTTTACAAATGAGGAAAGTGAGGCCCTGAGCAATTAGCTAAGCTATGGCCCCTGCCCACCCTTGAGTCAGCCAGAGACATGTCAAACATCGGCTTCAGGATCAGGGCTCAAGGCTGGGACAGGGCTGGAACACGTCATGGGAGCCGGAAGGAGGCTCTCACCCTGGCCCAGGATCCAGGGAGGAGCTGAGTGTTGAAGGATGAAGGGTCAGGTAGAGGATGGGGAAGGAGGAGGGGCCATCTAGGCAAGAGGAAGGGCCTGGGCGAAGGCGGAGAGAGGCTGTAACAGCAGGTGTATGTCTGAGGTGCTAAGTGATTTGATGGAACTGAAGGGAGTGTGTAGTAAAAGGTTGACTGGGCAGGTCTGGGTTGTCCAAACCCTGCACATTCCAAAGAAAGGAATGGCCCTTGACTGGCTCCGGGGAGGGAACATCTAAGCCGTTAGAAAGTCCTGCCAGATGAGAGTGTTTTTGTTTACCTTGAGTCTTGGGCCATGCCAGATAGCCTATGCCAACAATGTGACTTCTGGTGGGGTTGGAGATTGAGTAACTAAGGTCAGTGACACAGGTGCTCCATGCCTATGGGACTGACCCCTCAATAAAAACTCTGGACAACTTCTTACCTGATGGTCCCTGTTAAAAAACAAACAAAAAACCCTGGATACCAAGGCTTGAGCTTCCCTGGTTGGCAAGACTCCATGTGTGTTGTCACATATCGCTGTGACAAGTTAAGTGCTGTGTGACTTCACTGGGAGAGGACAACTGGAAGCTTGTGCCTGGTCTCTCCTGAATCCCTTTGCTGACTGTATCCTTCCAACTGTAACCATGAAGATAACAGCTTTGCTGAGCTTGGTGAGTCCTTCTGGCTAATCACTGAACCTGAGGGTTGTCTTGGGAACATACAGTGTCAGGTGATGTAGCAGGAGAAGCTGGCAGAGCCACAAATGTCATACTAATGGCTCAGACTTTGAAGGAGCCACAGGGGCACCTTAAGGGGTAGACGGACTGCTGTGGCCAGATATATCTGTATGGGAAGGACTAGGGGTGTAGAGGCTAGGTGGCTGGGAGAAGGCTGGGGCAATGGTCCAGGCCAAGAGCTTGAGGCTTGAATTCAGACTGTGGGGACAGAGAAGAGAGAATCACAATTTGAAGAATGTATATTTGCACCTAAACTTCAGGGTCTGTTCCAGTTAACAAAGTTTGCACTAAGACCACAGGGTCTGTCTAGGTTAACAGAGCCAGTGACAATCAGGACTTGGGCACTTTTTTACAAATGCCAACTATTCTGAGCTCTGATACAGGTATTTCTACTTTTACCAAAGGGTAGAGTTTTCCTAAAAGAGAAGGTAATGGTGTTTGGGGGAAGCAGGGAGGAAACAAAATTGAGGAAGTGGTGTGTTTCATTGAAAAGGTAGAGGACCTGCTTGGGTGCTGTACTAAGGGCAGAACAGCCACAGCTGCAGCCACCTGTAGTTCACCCAGGAATAACAGAGGCTCAGAGAAGCGAATACCTTGAGGTCACCAAGAGACTTATTGGCAGAGCTGCCTACCCCTGCGTTTGTCCTTGTGTCTTAAACCACAATACCCACATTCACAGCAATTGGGAACTGGAGAAAGACCCACCCAGGATTCTGACGTACAGACACGTCCCGCCCCCAGCTTTGGGAACCACAGCTCTCAGCCATCACTCTCAACCTTCACTCACTTCCACTAACCTTACCTCCATCTTTAGTTCTTTTGCTACTCCAAGTCCTAAGTTTACCTAATTTATTTACTCTAATATTTACTCAGCCCTACAAATTTTTTCCAGTACAATGTTCATTTATACAACAAATATTTTTGAGCACCTGCTCTGTACCAGGCACTGTTTGAGGTCCTCGAAATATGGCTGTGAATGAAACAGAGTCCCTGCTCTTCTGGAGTTTAAATTCCAGCAAGGGAGACTGACAGGAAAGCAATAAACATAAATTATCCAGTGTGTCAC